CACTCTCCATTTTTTCTATTTTTGTTGCAGAGGCTCCCCATAAAATAGTGTATAAATGCTATTGGCTCTACTGAAAACCAATGAATTAGAAATTAACATAGATACTTTTATGTTGCTCCTCTAAATTTAGTCAGCATCTGTAGTTGGTGTCCATTCTCATTTCCTACAAATTACTATGCTTTCTCTAATGCAAATGGCAATAATCTCACACCATCTCCCTAACAGTCTCACTCTCATCTGCCTCCAAACTTTTATGTTAATCAGTCTTTGCTTCTTCTTTGCCTTGTTTCAGAAAGTAAACCCAGCCATTTGTGCTTTAGAACCTATTCCTTTCCATAGCCTTAAGGAATCAAACTCTTAAGGATCAAGCTCTTTCTTCCCTATCCTTGGACTACAGGTATATTCAAGTCTCACAAATCTTGTACAACATTTACTTTGATTTCAGCCAAGCTACTGCATCCTCTTGTTCCCACCAGCTTTTGCCCCCACAGCATTTGCAATGGTCCCTGTAATATCCAAATAAAATGGTTATCTCAGTTTTACAGTATTTATTCCTTTTACAATATTTTCATTTTTAAAAAAGTTAACGAACCACATCTTTCTGAAAATGCTCTCCTAATTCCGACAATTCTTTGTCAACCTGTTATGGCTGTTGTTTCTTTTACTCATCTTTTACTTCTTGCAGCTCCATTCTTAGACAGTATACAGAAGGTCTAAATTGTAACTATATGCCTATCATAGCCATATCTGTCTGTGGCCCCTCTCCTGATCATCAGGACTGTTCTTCCAATTACTTCCTGGATACCTCCACGTAGGTATTTCAAGATCATGTCCACAGTTAAACTCACAATTTTTCCCTCAAACCTGATCCTCCTCCCATAGCATTTCCTATTTTCACCAGCTACCTAATTTCTCAGACTGAAACTCTTTGTGACATTTTCCTTCAACTCTAATCCTCATGCAGTGTCATCTGATTGACTAGCAGTTCCATTAGATCGTGCTCCACAAATTACCTCTAGAATCCATTCACTCCTTTCCATTTTCATTGCCAATACTCACATTCAGGACTTCATCCCTTTTCACTTTGAACAAGAAAGGAGTTATTTGATCTCTGTACTTCTAATCTTATTCCCTCCAATGAACCCTTCATATTACCATTAGAACAAGGAATGCATTCATTGTTTTGTATCCCTAGCAGTAAGCACAGTCTCTAGAACACAGAGATATTCACTAATTGTTACATAAATAAATGTACTTTTCCTAAAACACAAATATGACCATGTCACCCTGTTAAAAATACCCTTATGGTGCCTTGTTGCATACATGTGGATTCATGTGGGCATGCATACACATGTGCATGCGCACACACACACACCCAAAATCCTTAGCAACCATCTAAAGTCTTTCATACAACTATTATTATCAATAAACAATAAAAACAAAGCCCTTCACAGTCTGATCTCAATGTAATTTTCAAACTCATCATTAACTCCTCTTCTTCCTTCACTCCAAAGATATATAAAATAGCCTTGCTGGGTCAAACTGCCTTTTGTTGGTGTTGCCATGCCTTTATTACTGCTGTAGTACCCACCGTTACTTTCTTTTTCTTTTTTAAATTTTTATTCTGAAATTGTGGGGTGCAATTCAGGGTTAGGTATACAGATGTTCATTGTGCATGTACCCTTATTGATGAAGTGTGCCCCTCCTTCCCCAGGCGGATATCGACTACTGTCAATCCC